CGTCGTACATGCATATTGTGAATATATTGCGTATGCGATGTATGACGCGACATATAGGCACACACGTCACGCACATGCCTGAATTTTGATTTTTATCACTTTATCGCATCGTTCCCTCTATTTTTCTACTACGATAACAATTGGCAGATGATTGCTAGAGAGAGAAAGAGAGAGACATCGGTTCCCGTCGCTTTCGTCGAACTGCAGTGATCGAACAGTGCAATAAGATGTACTTTATCGATAAAGCGGTAAATTATACGAGAGAGAGAGAGAGAGAGAGAGAAAGAGAATTTTTTTAGAACAGTAAGTACAAAGAAAACTGTTAGCATGAATGTACATTAGAAACGCGAGACGTTATTGTAATAATGGACCTCGAATTCCTACGAGTCGTCGGACAACTACTTGTACTATGATATAAATACTTCCGTGTACTATCTTGTACAATCTTGGACTTCAATTTCTACGAGAACTGTATATCGTCTCTTGGTTTTTATGGTCTTACAGTCTTCGAGAACTTCAATCGAGAAAAGTTAAAACGCGGTTCTAAATAGGATACATATTACGTAATAATACATAGGGAGTCGAATACTGCTCGCTTGGCATACACGGTCAGCTTTTCGAATATTTTCGAGATATAGGATCGGGCTAATGAAAGATCGGACCAAAATACGTACTATAGTTTGTAGCTTTACGCCTTTATAACATATCCAGCAAGGAGGATGCAAGGAGGATCTCGTCCTCGCGTTTTCCACTTCTCTTCTAGCTTGTACATATGTACATCTATATGTACTATAAAATTAATTATGGATATATCTATGTATAGATGTGCGAAAATTTTGCGACGGTTCCCCTCCCTCCCCAGGATCTTCATCGGAATGCGATATACGTTTCAGTAGCGATTAGCATTCGTTTGTTCAAATATATTTCTATACCAGCTCTTGAGCCGCGAACGGTTAGCAAAAAGAAAAATTTATTGTGATAGACCGTAGCGTTTAATAAATGTAAAATTATTAATTCATTTTATGCTAATGATTGTGAATAAATCCACACGTATATTATTATTATTATTATTATTATTGTCATTATTAATTAAGTTTCTTCCTTTGTTTTCTGTTATAAAACAATAAATGCAATATTTCAATTATTGAAGTTTCGTGCTTGCCTGTGTCTGTGCTTTTAGTCGCTCGGTAAAAAGGAACTGCCCGCCACATCTTGTGGTAAAGTAGTTATCTCCATTGCAGACAAGTTATCATGCAACGAACGCTGCCTTATCGATCACCTGTTTATAGCGCCTCCACAGAGGGCATTGTTGACCTCATTAACGCCACATTTTCACGATAAACACACCGCATTGACACCGACGATGGTCACGGTCACGGTTACAATTTCTTCTTTAAATTATGTCGTTACATCTTTGATCCAATGATGTACCAATAATATTATGTGGTGTATTAATGACCTTGAAAGTTCAAAGTTATTATAAAAACGAAATAACAGAGGAGTATTATATATCTGCGGCGCGTATGGCACGCGGTATTGCACAGTTAAGAGCCGATAATGTCAAAAACGTCTTAAATAGGAGTTCGTCAAAATGCAGTGGCCATCCCTTACTTTTATACTAACGAAATTGTTCTTTGTCTATATTATTTACTCGATTTATAATTTATGTCTGTTGTTCAAGACACCGGTTTGCAAAGAAGGCAAACAGTGCCTAACGTCGTACCTAAGTCAGGGGCAACAACTGCAGTTGCAGATTTACAGTTCCATCCACAAGTATCCTACTGAACAGTTGCTCGATTTTGTATACGCTACCAAAGACTTCAATTACACGCATGCGAGTAGTCGGTGAGTATACACTTTTTCGTCAGGCTGCGGTTTTGGATTCTTGGAAAATTTAGAACGAAAATTGTTTTTTTACACGTGTAATGTAAAAAAGAAGTATATAGAGAAGAAGATATTATATAGAATATAAAATATCCAGAACCTGATCCAGAAGCATCCTCTGGAAAAAACAAATACCTTGCTTGAATTTTAGTTCATTATGTATATATAATTTTGTTCTATTGCAATATGAATTTGCATAAATAACCATGATTGTTTAATAATCATTTAAACTTTAAGTATAACTTTAAATATAACTTTAGCTATACACCTGTTTATGTATTATATTTTTCTTTCAGACAATTAACTTTAAACGTTCCATATATAACAAGGAACAATGGAACGTTGTTTTTTCACATCATCATTGCGCCAACATATCCATATAAAAATTATGGAAGGAGTATCATCAGTATGCAGAGAGTACGGAAGAGAATATAAATCACATCTGTAAATTTATATTCTCTGCGTGCAATGTTTAATAATGTAACTATTGCAGGATCCATATGTATCTTACATTGTCATTAAAATGACAGAGTATGCGTTCCCTGAAGCAGAAGCCTTTAATTTATTGGGTGAGAGAAATTTGAATCCCAAAGAGAAACAAAATCTTGCAAATCGAGTAACGCATATTAAGAGCCATATCACGCTTACAATGATGACCGACGATGTGAAGCTACCTTTGTCTAACATACCCACGGAACTTTCGAATCACTTGAAGTATATTATAATATTATTTATGTTGAAAAACCATAATCCATAAGCAACTGGATTAACACGAGTTTTCATTGTTTCAGACTTGTGCAGGGCAAAATATTTTTGCCTATAATCAATTATGACTTTTTGCAAACTAGACAGCGTGATTTGGTGAGACTGATGCCGCAGAATGATACAATTAATATTACATTTCAATACTCTCCGATCTCTATTGGAAAGTTGAGGTTGCTGTTGCACCTGGAAGCTGCCGTGAAGAATTTGAAAGAACTTGGATTTTCTGATAAGGACATAGACGAGGCGAAAGGAATTTTTGCAGATACTAATGTATACATCCTAGGAGGGACTTTCTTTATTGCAGCTATTCACGTGTGTAAACTAATCTAGTTATTATAATATAATATAATTTAAAATGCAATTTCGATTTGAAATACAATTTCATATTTCCGTAGTTGTTATTCGACTTCCTTGCTTTTAAGAATGACGTGAATTATTGGAAAAACAAAAACAACCTCGTAGGACTCAGTAAATGGACTGTAGTATGGCGATCGTTTAGTCAAACTATTATATTTCTTTACCTGTTAGACGAAGGTTCATCCTCGCTTGTTCTATTCCCCACTGGAATTGCATCTATGATCGAGGTAATGCTAAAATTTATTAGCTATTAGTATTTTATAGATTCTTTTTTAGATTCTTTTAGTTTCTCTCTTTCTTTTCAATAGATGTGGAAATTGAAGAAAGTGTTCAAACTCAGGGTTACAAATAATAATAACCACAATAGAGCTGAAGTTAGAACAAGAAAATTCGATGCAGAAAGTATGCGTTATTTAAGTTATTTGTTATATCCTCTTGTCATCGGTGGTGCAATTTATTCATTACTTTATCAACCACATAAAAGGTATGCCAGTGTACTGGAATTTGTCCGCAGTTTATGTAAATAGTTATGTAAATGTTATGACGTTAAATTTCAGCTGGTATTCATGGAGTATAAGTTCATTAGTAAACGGAGTGTATGCATTCGGATTTCTGTTTATGCTTCCCCAGCTTTTTGTGAATTACAAGTTGAAGTCTGTGGCACACTTACCATGGAGAACGTTCATGTACAAAGCATTCAATACATTTATAGACGATATCTTCGCATTTATTATCTCTACGCCAACCGCGCATAGGATAGCGTGTTTCAGGGACGATGCAGTATTTCTTATTTATCTATATCAACGATGGTGAGTTATGAATTTTGAGTGAGCATTGAATTCCATGTACTTAATAGTAATAAATATTGTTATTTATAGGCTCTACCCAGTAGATAAATCTCGTCCAGACATTGACGATATTGGCGAGGAATCTGTTTCACATTCAAATAAAAAGACGAACTAAAGTGAATTTATTCAATTTTTATCTTTTTGTTTTTCAATATCGTTTTAAATATTTTATATATATGCCACTATAACATTGACTGATGTTTCATTAATGAAATTCATTAATATATATTGATATGGACGCCTCGATATTATGGTTTTCATATTATTTTAAAAATAATCTCTTGTTATATATATTTACATTTCTAAACATGCATAAATATTTTCCATTGTGATATATTAGAAATATAACAACATTGTTAAGGTGTGAAAATATAATGAATAATTACGACGAAGATATAATCAAATATTTATTTTATTTTGTACCTCATTGAAAAGTATATTTTGAATATAATAGTGTAATTCTCATAATGAAACTTTATAAATTTTGAAATGTGCGTATTGATCTTTAGAAATATTTTGTAAATTCATTAGTCTGGATTTAGATTTATCATTAATCTCTCTTGACTTATATTAATATGACTTATTTATTCTTGACTTATTTCATAATCAGCTATTATCATATACTGTGATATTAACATTGAAACACAGAAAAAAATATCAGTATTTGAAAAAGCAACAAGACTGAATCAGAATTGAATTTAGCACGAGATGTCAGTGGTATTATGCAATTATTTGTCAAGGTCGGTTTTGAAATCTACTGTGTCACTTAGGTATATAGACGATAAATTAACATTATTACATGTGTACATACATGTATCTACATACATACACCAGTGTGTTCTGAGATGTTTCATATTTACAGTTGGTTGAAATCTCATTTAAATCGTCGAGAGATAAGGTTTCATGTCTATACGGAAGATATTTATTGAAGTTATATCTCTTTCAGACTCAAGTTCAGTGCTTATCAATTAATTTATCTATTAATGATAAAGAATAGGTGATCAATCAAGATTACAAAAACTAGTGATAAAATGAAATAAAAAAGATAAACTTCATACTTCTACTTATTTTAATTCGGGAATTGTTCTCATCGACAATCATTAAACAATTTATATAAAACAAAGTATTTTACAAAGTATTTTAACAATGATCAGTGTTTTATTTGTTGTTCAAATTTTATGTTCCATTTTTTTACCATTATGGCTATATATTTGGATTAGCAAAATAGTTAAGAAATACAATTCATCATGTTTAGATTTGAAACAAAACATTCCAAGTAAGTATCTTTTATTTCATATAAATAAAATAACCATATGTACATTAATGAAAACTACTTTTAGGTATTTACTTTTTGTTAAAATATTGGTGGGCAGAGTATTATATTAACTGGATGAAGAGAAGCGAAAAGAATGTTTCAGATTTTGATAATGACGAAAAGCGTCACCTAGCAGATTCCAAAATCAAAGATAAAGATGTAAATATTGACTTTTTTATAAAATTAAAAAATATCAATTTCATTAATCACGATTTTTATTTGCATATAGAGTACCAATAGTATATTTTTTTATGGCGCCGATCAGAAAGGAAATTCTCTTGTAATTAAATTCACTCGTAGAGCGTTTAAAGTAGCAGAAATATCATTGCAACTTGCTACATCTGATGGTCAACTATATGTTTTGCCTGGTATAAAAATGTTCATGAATTTTTATTTTTAACTAAAAAGCATAACTTAGCTAAAACTTTTAATTAAAAGAATAAAATAATTTCTTCACAGAATATCCCGATACTACTTTGACAAGTAGTTTGACTCAGAAATGGACAGCAGGTGGCCTTAGAATTGAATTTTTAGACTTCCAACAACGCTGGAGAATAATTTACAATGGAATGCTTAGGAACTTAACTCTGGGTGATGAATGTAATGACGATAATGTTGAACACGTTCGCTTCAATTTCATGTAATAAGTACTTCTAATTAATTGATAGATCAGTATTCAATTCCGTCGGTTAAAGCCTGCATTAATAATTTTTTTAATTAGATTTATTGCACATAGCCGATCAATGAAATGGCCAGAAGATTGGAGTTCAAAATTACATGCTGAAGCGTTAGCTTGTGATCCTTGGAAAAATCATCAATGGATAAATAAAATGTATTTAATAATTATTAAAATACTATTTTATTTTTTTATCATTACTATTCTATTTCGGTAAATAATGCAATTATCACTTTTACAGAAAGTTATTAGAGTATAAAGGTTTTGATCAATGGGGATCTATGCTAGGTCAAGTAACGTATAAAGATGGATCTATTTCTTCGCTGTATTTGCGCGGACTTCATCAACATCGTTGGGGAAAACACGAATCTTATGAATTTTATGAATCAGTTATGTTATTTGGAGTAATGTTATATGGTGCCATGTATTATCTTAATATGAGTAGTACAAAACATAGTTTTCCACAGTAAGTTGGATAATGTATTGTGTTTAAATTTAAATTTAAATTTAAATTGCGATCAAATTATGTTGAACGAAAACTTATAATTTCAGAATACAGCTTGGTCAATACAGAACTAGTAATGAAAATAAATGTGAAATTAGCAAAATAGGACTCAAATTATCAGACTTTAGACAAGGAAAACTTAACAATAATTTGGAATATAAAACGTGGTTCATAGGTAAATTGGAATTGATATAAAATATTCATGTTATAAAACTTATAAACAATTAATGTTGCATGTTTAATTTCAGCTGAAAATAAAAGATATGATATTGTCATAAAACCTAATAAAGCAATAACACTATACTACGGTCAACCGTGGAATTCATTAAATAAAATTGTTACCGTGAATTTGGAAATGAATGGGAAAGCAGGTGTTGGATTACTGCAATTATGGTCTCTTTACAGTGGACCACATAAAGGAAAAACAATTGTACCTCTACCATTGTTGAAACAACTTAGCGGTGCAGTGCAAAAAGATGATTACGTTATATATTTCAATGATGGAAAATGTCAAAATGAAAATATTGTTGGTGGAAAAGGATGTTCTCTCGCAATGTTAACTTCCGTTAAAGATGCAGAGGTGAGCCGTGTTACAAATTTTACTGTTTCACTCTTTCATTCCTGAGATGTTGTAATATAAAATTTTTGCAGTTTGTTGTACCAAGAGGATTTTGTGTGACTGTTTTTGCTCTCGAATTGCAATTACGTACACACAAGGAATTGCAAAAAGTAATTAACGATATCGAGGATGTCAGTGTTGGGAAGAAAGATGGTGATCTTCAGAAATATTGCGACAAGTAAATTATGTTAATACAATTATAGAATATTAAGTATATTGTTCCTATGAATATTTATTATTTTCAGAGCTATTCATATCATCGAGTCGACTCCTGTCATTGACGAAGTGAAAGATGCAATTTTGAAAGCAATAGAAAACTTAGAATCAGAAAACCTTAATGATAAATCATCTAGGTATGCAATAAGATCTAGTGCTGTAGGTGAAGATAGTGAGGAAACCTCAGCAGCCGGTCAAAATTCAACCTATTTAAGTATCCAAGGTGAAGATAATATTGTCAAGAGCGTAGCCAAATGTTGGGCAAGTTTGTTTTCATATCAAAGTGTCAAATACAGGTACAAACATGATAATATAGTTAAGTAGTAAGCTTTCATAATATTTGCACTACTAATACTAGATAATTAGAAAACATTTTCTAAACATTAGAAAACAACATGGTATGTTTGTAAAAACATCTATGGGAGTATGTGTACAAAAAATGGTGGACGCTAATGCTGCTGGTGTCATGTTCACTAGGCATCCAACTACTGGAGATCCATCGAATATTCTTATTACAGCTAATTACGGATTAGGGGAGGTATAATTAAACTATCGTGTAATTATAAATCATAAAAATAATTTAAAAAAAAATGTTAACTAATAGACTTCCTGTCCACTTAGTCTGTTGTTTCAGCAACAGTTGAACCAGACACGATAATTGTTCACAAAAGTTGGGATGGTAAATTAACTGTGGAAAGTTCATCAACGGGGAATAAACAACAAAAGATCATATCAAGTGATAATGGAGTTGTTACGATTGAACTCAATGAGCAAGAAAACAAAACAGTTTGCTTGTCGGAACAAATCGCTTTGCGATTAGCTGCTATAGGAGCAGATTTAGAAATGTTGTTCGGTAGTGCCAGAGACATAGAATGGGCAGTGGTTAACGAAAATATTTATTTGCTTCAAGCTCGGCCTATTACCACTTTATACACGTGGACAGATTTTGAATTGACACACGAGTTAGATTCAGGTGTTCCTAGCGATATTGACATGTTCACATTTGCTAACGTGGGCGAAGTATTTCCATATCCATTGTCACCTTTGACAATTTCTGTAATTATAAAAATACTGAACGACTTAACTTGTATTGCATATCAAACTATAGATAATATTTTCTTTCAAATCGTTGGTATGAGAATTTGCATAAACTATTATAACGTAAGTAGTATTACGAATTTAATTTAAAAATATATTATAAATACACTGTCTAAAGGAACATTCATTATTATATAGACGTTTTTACGACAACCTAGCAAAACTGTAACACTTGTCAACAAAGTCTCGGATATTGGTATTTGCGGACATGTTGTAGTAACTCCAGAAATAATGGAAGTTGCTCGTGAAAGAAACGGCGAATCTACTCGTTTAGATCGAATTTTATTGCTGTGCAAAATGGTACTAGATGCAATAAATAACGGTAAAGTAGAAAAAGCCGCAAAGAAGATTCGCCAAAACTTGGATTTAAATGCAGACGATTATCATACGGCTTATAGTTTATATAATAAAATTAACCAACGTAAAGATGTGTCAAAGGTAAGTATGTTCAGAACTGAAGAAATTAAATCAACACTAAATTATTTAATTCCTCAAAACTTTTAGGCAGCGGTGTGTCATATGCATACAACAAGAGTCAGTGTCATTTATCAAATGCTTGCAATGGGATTACTAACAAATGGCTACGAAGATATCGTGCAAGAGCACTTTTCAGATATTGCAATTTTATTAGGTTCTTGCAGCGACATTGTTAGTGGTGATGTGGTAACAAGGCTTAACAAAATAGTGCTTTATATTAAAAGAAATGAAAAAGATGAAGAGTTTAGAAAAGTTGATCCAACTAAAGGTATCGATTGGTTAAAAGTTAATTGTCCACAAGCTGCAAACGAATTGGATACTCTTCTTAAAGAGCATGGACACAGATGTATTCAAGAAATGGATTTTATATCAGAACCATGGTCTCTTAGACCCCACGATCTTATTAGTACGCTTCAGGTAAATTGAATTATTGGACCATACATAACGAATATATTATAAAAGATAAATTATTTTACTAGACAATGATAGTGGGTGCGAAACCGAATAATTCAAATAAATCACTCAACGTGGAAGAAACATTAGCGCAATTGAAAACACCAAAGAAAGAATCTACTAAATGGATTTTGAAGAAGCTTGTACCCCTATCTAGAAAAGCTGTTGTTTGTCGAGAATTGACAAAATCGATATTAGTCAGTGTTACACATATGTTTAGACTAGCTTACAGAAGGCTAGGAAAACTGATGGTTTTAGAAGGATATTTACCCAGCGAAGACTTAATATTCTTTTTAACACATGAAGAAATAGGAAAACTGTTGACTCATCACGATGCAGCATTAGTACAAAAGTAACGAAATCATTAATTAAAATTATCTTTTCTCTTTATATTAATTACCATACTGATATATTTTCACATTTACAATTTTTTAGAGCTTCTCGTAGGAAAAGAATCTTTCCTCAGTTAAAAGAACTGGAATATTCAGAAATTAATACTGGGATGCTGATCCCTGTGAAGGTATACATTATTTTTTTTGTGTACGAATATTGTTTATCTGTAAAAGTGATAAAATCCTGTTTATACAGAGCGACATAGATATAGCAGTAGATGAAAAATCAGCAAAGATTCAAGGAACGCCAGTGTGTGGAGGCTCTGTTCTGAACAGAGCGTGCGTAATCACAGATTTATCAGAAATACACGCGTTAAAACAGGGTGATATTTTAATTACTCACGCTACTGATATTGCTTGGAGTCCATACTTCCCATTACTTAGCGGTATAGTTACGGAGTTGGGAGGACTTATTAGTCATGGAGCTGTAATAGCTCGAGAATACGGTCTTCCATGCATAATTGGAGCTAAGAAAGCTACACAAATGTTTGAAACAGGTAATATATCGTTGTTTTTCAAGAGGAAGAAAAGACAAATGCTAAGAGATATATGTATATACACATTTCTAGGAGATACTGTGCTATTAACCGCAAATACTGGTGTTTTGCAGTTGGTGAAGAAACATGATTGAAAAGGTTACAATTTTTATTTTCTCTCTTATCACGTGTATTTATATAATTTAATAATTTTTAAGGTGAAATTTGTTGTTTCGTTTATTCACATTAAAAGCGATATACGTGCAAACTAAAATAAAGAATATTGCTATTATAATAATATCTGCAGAATGATAATGACAAATACAATAAATACTTACTCAAATCCTTAAACTGTTACTAAAGCTATACAGTAGTGACGCGATTAGGATCGGCAATCAATGTATTAATAGGAGTATTATTTGCTGCATCATTGGCAAGACACGATAGTTGCAAATGCATAGACGTTTTTACTTTTACAAACAACATGTCGATTCGCGCGTAATCATCTTTGTTAACTGGTTTCGGTATCGCATCTAATGCTTCTTCAAAGAAATCCCTGTGGGTCAGAAATTGATATATTAGTATATTTTCTATTTGTACGACTAGAAAAAACAGAGATCATTACTTTGCTCTTGGTGTGCTGTAAGATTGCAAAGCACTCCGCAAGAGTGTAATATCTGTACGTGCTTGTACAATACCGGCCGGTCCGAATTGAGTAACACACGACATAAGCCTTGCAAGTTCTTCCGCTACAGTCTCAACTATGTGAGAGAGTACTCGTTGTAGTAAAGCTGGTGCGACCCGGCGCACCTGTAAGAAAGAATTAAATCGTAATTATAAAAATTACATTAAATAATTAAGAATCACTTGCGAGTGTAAAAATAAATGATACGCACCTCTGCGTGAACTGCAATTAAATTTGCTAGAATTTCTTGTGCATACGGCCTCACGTGAGTAGGCTCAGTCTCAAAATCCCATTCTAATCCGCCCAGATACATACTCGGCTCAATTGTGCCAACCAATGGGTCGCAGCGTCGTTCTAAATACGCATCCAGAACAGCCGTGTCCAGTGTACTAAGTTGCGTCCAATCGGAACTCCATCCAATCGCATTCGACAGACTCGGATAACCCTGATTCTTCAATGTCTCTCCAATTCTTGGTAGGACGGTGTTCAGTGTATAACGAATATTACTTAATGAGATTAAGAGGTATTGTTCCCACGTCTGATAAAAAATTCAGAAGTAATGCTAAAATGCAGCACTGACTTCAAAAGATGCTACAAATTTTTGTACTTTTTTTTTTCTAACGACAATTAATATATAGACTATCTTCCCTGAAATAAACGGTCTCCTCTATAAACATACCACGCTGCAAGTACGCTGTAAAACTTACTGGGCCTTGATGCTTGTTACTCCTGCTTTTATATCCAGAAGGAGAGCCAACTAATTGAGACACAGACGGTTCGTCATCATCTAAAGCTTCGTTGCAGCCGCTGAATGCCAATCGTTGCAAGCAAAATCTTGTGAACGTTGTAAATAATGCTTCGATAGAACGATAGTACAGAAGTTGACGAGCAGTATTAGCAAACAAAGGTTCCTCTCGAGGGCCACAAGCAACTACTGTATCTCGCGCCCGTTTTGCGACTTCTATAATCATTTCTTCAAACAGGTATGGCTATAAAGGTAGACATGAATATATCTAATATATCTAATAAAATACTATGTGTGTATTTATATATATTTACAAAGCAGATTTAATTATTACCACTTTCGTAACGCCACCGTCTTCATTTAAATATTCAATTTGCCAAGTCTCTTTTTTGTATAAAGTAGCTATGTTCTCTTGAGTTTGTTTGAATAGAGTACGAAAGCACCGCAGTCTAATTTGAAAGATTCAAACTCGTTATGTATAATAAAACTAAGAAAATATCGCAACAATATTTCATACCTCAAGTCGAGTATGAATTTTCCGAAAATATCTAACGCATCGCTCGGCAAATCCAAGTGAATCAACGAAGCATACATTTGTCTAATTCTACGTAAGATATGTAAAAGCCAAACAGCATCCAAATCGTTGCTACAAGTATTTTTCAGGGCTTCCATCGCATGTTGCATACTTGACAATACTAGATTCTGTACCGAAATAATTATTTTTCTTTTTATAGAAGTTGAATTGTTTAACAATTAATTTGGTAAATATTTTGATGTACCTTGAAAGGTATTTGTTTCTCTGCATCTACTGCAACATGCAACTGTCCCGTAAAGTAGCTTTGACCCAATCTCCACAAGTCTGGTAACTGCTCAACAATTATGTCGCAAATTGTTTCAACGCATGATATTTGTGAAGGAATATTAGTTCCATCATTTTTGTTCGATTTTGATTGTTTATTGTTCTGTGTTGATTTTGCTTTGTTTGAATCTTCTACATTTAAATTATCTATTTCCAGATGTTCTTGCATACAATTGGTAATGCTCTTTTTCAAGTAATTCGAATGCGAGACTGAAGAAGATAATTATAAATATAATGCAAGTACATTAATATACAACATTATAGTGAAATACCTATTGCATCCCAAGCTGGATCTCCTTCCGCTTCCAAATTGACAAGGTTTCTAATTATCTTCTTATGTTCCTCCAGACTGAAAGGCATTTCTTCAAGTTTGTTTCTTAGATGTGCTTTTAACATTACAATTCTGTTATCGATTTCATCCAGCACTTTCTTAAAAACATCGATTTCCGTGTTTTTAAATAAATTTTTTACTCTCGCGTAATCATTAATTACAAGGTCATAATTGCCACGTTTTACATTCTTTTCTATATTGATTGGCATACAAAAAAGGAACTTGTATCTTTGCATTACGGACAATGCGTTTCTCGTTGCATCGGCTCTGTCTCTTCTTGCTAGCACGTCGTCAAATAACTTGTTAGCTTCTGACATAGATTGTCTAATAGCTTTTTCTAACTTCTCAGTAGGGTCACTACCATATGTTTTTATGTCTGTTTCAAACTGCTCTTTTAACAATATTATTGTATCTAACTGTTCCATTACAGATCCTACATTGGCCTAAAAGGAAAAAAGAAAGAAACGAACGAAGCAATAAGTAAAGACACAATCTTCTTTTTCCTTAAGCCAAAGAGATCACCTTTAAAAATGATAATTGACCCTCCTTCTGAGAATTTACTTTTCTCTTCAGATAAGCTAGTCCAGCTTTCAAATCTTCGAAAGTGGTAGCGTGATGGTGTTGCAATAAAAACCAACCGGGATGAAATTTTTCGTTGGTGAGGTCTCCACTACCTTCCCCAAAGAGCTCCATTAATTCATCCTCAGGGAATTTCTTGCTGTAACAAGCGTGACATATCAGAGGATCTCTGTAAATTTAAAAAAATTTATTGAACATACTCGTTGCCTTCGACGCTTAAGCCCAAAGGATCTTCTTGCTGATAATTTGTCGGGGAAAGAGTTCTCCTTCCCCAGACGAAGCTTTGCATGGGAGCCTCTTCCACCCATACTGCAGACTCTTTCATAGGGCCAATGGTTTCATGGTAACCACGAAACTGTACCGTGGATGTTCCTGGCCCTCCACTGTGAGTAGTTACTATAATATCCCCCCGACCTTTACAAGGTCCTGATCTGGCAATGATCTTGTTAGAGGATTTCCATTCTGCTGATAGAAGGCAATCGCATCCACATATTGTCAAACCTAAATTGCATTAACAATTCTCCGTCGGTAAAAAAGTTCTCTTTATAATAAAAAATGCATAACATACATAAGAGATGAAATTAACCTATGAGATCTTGAGCTTTGTTACCCAAAAATTCACCGCGTACGATCACGCGGGTACCTGGGGGTCCTTCCTTGGGAGATATCCCCGTCACCACTGGCGGCGGACCCATTCTGTATTTTAATCCAAAATCCTACTATCTTTCTACAAACGAACACTGACCGTGCATAATTTTAATCTCAACGATCGGACAGGTTCAAAATCCTACTCGGAATCTGACAAACAACGATTGTCATTTTTACGAGCACAATGATTATGAGCTTCTTCGAGTTCTTTTGTACTAATTCGCGAGAGATCGAATAGGTTAGGAAGAACTAACGGAAGCGAACGACGGCCGATAACCTACTGACAGGCATGACCATCGGTGGCAATAGGGTGGGAGGTTGACAATTTCGATGACACGCGTCGAAATCGAGCACATGTGTCACGACGAAATCATTGTCATTCCGGCGACACTGAGAGCTGATTCAGAAAAGACGTTCGATTAACTTTATCGACGGGAAATATTCTACATGTGAACCATCAGCAATCGCATCACGCCTTCTGATTAGTTATCTATAGTTATCTATACACCTCCACATATATATCTGTATATATCTCGATTTTCATACGTATTTACTTTCATTAAAATAGATAATTCTTTATAAATATTTTAATGAATTCTGTCTCAGTAGTTAAAAAAAAAAAACACTTGTCACATCAGTTCGAAGATATAAACAATTAAGTTTTCAACAACTGTAACATAACAATATAATAATACATAATATAATATAATCGAAATGCAATGAAGCAATGCGAAACTATCTTGTTTCAAGATAGTTTCTTTTTCGTTTAAGTGTGCATGGGCGAACGTGTACTATGTAGGCGTATATACAATAAATCATAATAAACAAAGGATGCCGCGCATGCGCGCCCGAAATTGTAGAATGTGTAGACAGACGTAAACAACGTTGATATCAGTATCAATGGCCTGGGACTGACTGAAAGTAGACGGGCACTGTCCGATGAGAATTCTTCTTTACTCGTGATCGATCGGCGCGCCATCTCGAAAATACGAGGGGGCAATGCTAGTTAGTGCGCATTAGTGTATCCGCCGATCACGGAGTGTAGCTGAGTTTACCTGCCAAACGTGTATCTATGATTGCTCAAGTTTGTACACTCGTGCCATCCTCGGTGTTGTATCTCGACAATTTTCCTGGAATATCTCGGCTGGACAGAGGCACCAAGCGGTCGCGCGGTGTGCACAAGTGCGCATTAAGGAAGGAGCTATGGGGGACGCAGCGATGAACGTCGCAGCGTCCGGTGGCGGCGGTCAGCGTGTCGTCAAGGAAGGCTGGCTGCAAAAACGCGGTACTACGGGGCAGTCTCATAATATTTACGTTCGCTTGGCCCATTTGCTCCGTTCGGGGCTCCGAACTCGAGCCCGAGCGACCGAGTTTTCCCACCTTCTCGCGATGATCTCCGCCTACTTTGTTACCGTGCTCCTCTTTTTAATGACAAAACGTCAAGATGAAACTGTGACTCTTTTTCACGGAGATCTCGGAGAGAAGGATGAACAGAACAGAGTACCATTGAACACAGTAGTATCCGTTTGTACTTTGATTACCAGCTTTGATCATTGTGTCAGACAGATACTGTTTGTCAGATCTCTTTCAAATTGAGTTTAAGAAGTTTACACGCGTTTCTCTTTTCATCTGTTACTTGCAGGAGAGCATATAAAAAATTGGAGGTCAAGATATTTTGTCCTGAGGGACGATGGCACGTTGGTTGGGTTCAAAGCCAAGCCAGACCAACAAATGGCAGCCGCGGCACAACCGTTGAACAACTTCACTGTTCGCGGTTGTCAGATTATGTCTGTAGATAGACCTAAGCCTTACACGTTTGTTATAAGAGGTTTGCAATGGGCGGCTGTAATAGAAAGGACGTTCCATGTGGAAACAGAGCAAGAAAGGGAGGATTGGGTGGCGGCAATTAGGTTCGACAGATCTTTTTCTCAGACTAAAACATATAGAGATGTTTCTTTAAAATGACAGATTCTTTAAAATGTTTTGTACAATGTCTTGTTCTTCCTCATCTTTTCATTCTTCTTTCTTCTTTTTTGTAGGTATGTAGCAGCTAGGTTAGCAAGTGAAAAACACTCTCAACAACAGCCTACGCAAATGCAACATTCGTCCTCGTCCGAAGACGTTGACATGGAATCCTCAGGAGGTGGTAGGTCAGACTCGTGTGGATCTGTTGGAGTAGTGTCATCGGACGTGGACGGTGGAAGTATCGATGAACTATCTGCGAAATTTAGTGTTCAAGGAACGTCGAGTAGTAAAAGCACAGGAAAAAAGAAAGTAGTACGTGCATAATAGTAATAAGCGTTGTTCTCTGTATCGATTTGCTCTGTCTAGATATTTTATGTTTAATAACGTGCATTCTGGTCTTTCGTTTCAGACACTTGAAAATTTCGAATTCTTGAAAGTTCTGGGAAAGGGTACATTCGGAAAGGTAATCCTTTGTAGAGAAAAGGCGACGGGCCATTTATACGCTATTAAAATATTACGAAAGGAAGTTATTATACGTAAGGACGAGGTTGCGCACACGCTTACTGAGAACAGAGTACTGCGAACTACAAATCATCCGTTCCTAATTGTATGTCTTTCATATATTTTATTATATCGAACCCGCGCGTGTAACATTAATTAATGCTTCTTAATTTGCAGTCGTTAAAGTATAGCTTTCAAACAGCGGATAGGCTGTGCTTTGTAATGGAATACGTAAACGGCGGGGAGTTGTTCTTTCATTTGCGACGTTCCCGTGTATTCGGCGAGGATCGTACACGATTTTACGGCGCTGAAATCATTTCAGCCTTAGGTTACCTTCATTCGCAGGGTATCATTTACCGTGATCTCAAATTAGAGAATCTTCTTTTAGATAAAGATGGACACATTAAAATAGCTGACTTCGGATTGTGCAAAGAAGATATAACGTACGGTAAATACGTTGTACATATTTAAAATATAAAATTTTATAAATTTAAATATGTGGCGAAAAATACCGGTGACATTTCAAATATTCAGGAAGAACGACGAAAACGTTCTGCGGAACCCCTGAATATCTTGCACCAGAAGTATTAGAGGATAACGATTATGGACGAGCTGTAGATTGGTGGGGAGTCGGTGTTGTTATGTATGAAATGATTTGTGGTCGATTACCTTTTTATAATAAAGACCATGAAAAGCTTTTCACGCTTATTGTAATGGAAGAAGTAAGATTTCCTAGAACAATCAGTAACGAAGCAAAAGACATGCTTGGTGGTATGTAGACTGGACAATTGTAAACTGAATGATTGCCTTTTGAAACTGACAGATGTTTTTAAACTTCTAAACTTCTTTTTTTTCAGGATTACTTATTAAAGATCCAAGTAAAAGATTAGGCGGTGGACCTAACGATGCGAAAGAAATTATGGATCATGCATTTTTCTCGTCAATTGATTGGTCGGATCTTGTACAGAAAAAAATTCCTCCTCCTTTTAAGCCTCAAGTAACGTCTGACACAGATACCCGATATTTTGATAGTGAATTTACGGGCGAAAGCGTCGAGCTTACGCCACCTGATCAAGGATTTTTAGGTAGTGGGGCTGGTTTAAATTCAATAGCTGAAGAGCAAGAGCATTTCCCCCAATTTTCCTATCAGGAAAGTCACTCAGCAGCAACTTCTTCCATTGTTTCCATTAATCACTGACAGTGTCAAGCTTTTTCTTTGTTTACGTAATGAGATGTATGGCTAAATGCATGAAAAAGTCAGACATTCGATTATGACGAATATTCGCAGTTTGTCTACCAATTTGGAAGAATTTTTTTTTAACGCAGATAAATCGAAATATCAGTTATTTTCGCTAATTTATGATGCTTTTTTGTGCATCTTTATAAGGTTTTAACACATATCTCCAATGGCAGATTCGCGTATGTGTGCGTGTACATGCGCATGCATGCACATACTCATTAAAATTGTACATGAAAAAAGTTATGTACTATAGGATCCAATTAAATTAATATTTATACCTGCTGAGTAGGTTTGCGGTGATATAATGGGGATTGGATGTTTGTTTAAATCGAAAACAAAATAAGAGAGGTGAAAAAGTTATGCTTATCCCCTAAACTGTGTTACGTTATAAAGAGTGGCATGTTTTTTCTATATGGAAGAACGATATTTGATAATCGTAGCTACAGTTTAATTTTTTTTTTTTTTTAATGAGGATGGTAATCGATATTTTCTGGCTTCGTTGTCAATTTTATCGCAATAATTTATAGAAAAGCAGTTCCTGGTTATTTTTTTAAATTCATTAGTCAAATATTATAGCGGAAGTCAAAATAGCAAATTATACTTGGCAAGGAGCCAGTCAATGGGCAAATGGATTTTCCATTTTAAAAGTAGAAACATAGAAACATTAATAGCTTTAATTGAATTAGTATATAAATTTGCAATCAATTTCTAGCAGCGAAAGAAAGCGTTTCTTTGTACGTTTCTTCTTATTACTACTGTCGAATTTGGAAGTGTTCTTTTCTCCTTAGTACGAATCGTATCATTCATATATCATTGACAAATAATGATTTAATGTGAGAATCAGATGGAAATATGAAATGCTACCCTAATATTATATTATTAATATTATATGCTACAATGATTATATATACATATATTTATATTTTAACAATTAAAGGATTATATTGTACGTATGCATTATTAATAATTTCCATCTCATTTGTAATTAGCAAATTTTTGTAGTTTATCCGTTTTTACACAAGAAAGAATAGGGGGAAATTTTTTACAATAGAATTAAAAAAATTAATTGTTTGAGATTGGTGGTACATACGCAGTTTTGCTATTTACCATCAAAGAGCATGATACATTGTCGAAAAAGAAAGACGATAAAAGTTATATCTGTATATCGTTTCAATTACTTTGTCCTAAATTATATATACATTTTATGTTTTATATTTTATTTTCAAGAAGATTCATATTATACGACGGCAAGGCGTTGTCCTTTGTAAGCCAAACACTATCTAAAATTGCACCTTCTTTGTCATCGGATACCTATTAACATATTGTTGAACGATTAGTAACAAACATTCCTGTCACCTCTTTCTTTTTCCATAGTATACAATACCTGTTCGAGATAAAGATGAGTTCGATTATACGCTTTCATCCTGGTGTATCCGTAATCCGAGCTACGGTACGCAGACCACTCCGGCTTGTGTGGAACAAATTTTTCACGACCTTCTTTGCATCCCGCTGATCCTGTTATTATATGTACAGGTGCCTTGTAGTTTTCATACGGATTTTCATAACTACCATTTTGTACCTAGAGTCGTTTCATTTTTCTTATTTTAAACGAATTTAAGATGATGGTGTTTTTTACGACGGTAAATTACCTTGAAATTGTACATGGGCCACAAACGTTCATAACTATGTTCATGAGCCCATAATAATAAGTCTACTTTGTACTTAAAAAACAGATCCTCGAGGCCAAACCAATTTAGGATTGGCAATCCAACTCTGATTAGACTTTGATGATTAGTGCAATCATCAGCATTAGCATTACTGCAGTACATTGGTCTGTGACCAAATGCAACTATCCACGGCCTTTGTATCCTTTGAAGCATTGTTATTAATCTCTGTTGTATTATGATAAAAAAAAAACATGGAAAACTTACCTATTCTCTGGTATATTTGCCTCTATTAAATCTTTTTCTAACCACTCGTATTGTTTAACAAGTAGCTTTATACCATAATTCATAAAGTAATAAGCTTCTGTTTCAATTGCTATGAAGTGAACTGGTCCTACATTAAAGCTGTACCATAAACCTTCAGAATCGCCAGGCATTGTGAAACGAGACCTAACAGCATATTTATACTAACAACGAAGAAATTATAAATGAACAAATTGATAATCTTGAGCTTGAAATATACTCTGACCTGTAATTACTGAAGTTATATTTCTCTTCATGGTTACCAGGTACTGTCATATATGGCAAGTATGCAGCCACTTCTTCTATTTGTTTCATGAATTCATCCCCAACACGTGCGTTATTGGTATCCATGTCATATGCAAAATCTCCGATATGAATTGCTGCATCGTACAATCCACGTTGTGCTTCTTCTTGCAATCTGGGTAAACTTTGAGCATTTTCGTTGCCCATGTCGCCAAAGATAACAATGTGAGGTGACCATTGTGCTGATTCCTCGGGAGCAGTTTTTAGGTAAAATACATTAGACCATCCATATTTGCTACCACAGTGATAAACTAAAAAATTTATATATATACACGTATATAACATATAAAAATTTACATATATACATATGTATATGATTGATATAAAAAGTTACTTTACTTACTATATTTAGAATTAGGTTCCAAATTTTTCAACCATACTCTATGAATATACTGCTTCTGTTTTTCTTTTCCACCATCAATAAACAAAGTAGAATTTCCTTGAGCTGTAAGAATTAATCCTCCTATTCCATATTCCACGACTGATTCTTCAGTATTGCTTCTTGTACTCCATGTTACAACGATATCATGAATATTATCTAAAAGATACAGGATGTATTTCTTTGATGTTTGTCAACAATTATTATAGAAATCTATTAAAGAAACAATGTGATAAGAAAATAATTAATTCAAAATAAGATTTACCTCCATAAGCAAGATGTACAGCCTCAGGTTGATAATAAATAACGTTGGCTACTGTCACAGAAAGCAGAGATAAAGTAACAAATCCAATGGACAAGGCCATTTCTCGTTAATTAATCAAGAATTAAAATCACGTTCACTGTGTAACAATCACGGTGATGTTTCATAAATTTATTTCTTCACATGCATGTGGAAACTCAAAGATTCAGGCATTAGAGCCTCGCACCACGTTCACTCGAACACAAAGGAGTACTGCATCAACTTATAACAAACGTAGACATTGCCTAAGGTCGTGTACTAACAATGAGTCAGGCGTTATCACAGAACTTTTATCAGCTGTTCCTCATTAGCTGTCCAATTTTTATCAGCTATCGTATTGTTGTAGCATACTGTGGGCTGTGACGTTTTCGAATCACACTGTTATTTCAATGATAAACGAGATTTAAACTCGCATCCTAACAAAATTACCTTAAACATTTGTGATCAAAATTCAGGTGGCAGCGACATCTACTATGATACAACTCTAATGCATCATTATGCACTGTACAATGCATTTACGTCAGAACATTCAAAAGACGATAATTAATGACAGCTTATATTCAACTAGAAATTTCCATTTACTGAATTTAAATGTCGCATCTGGGTAATTACCATAACCATGTAACTGAATGATAAAAAGCTTGGGAGTGGAAAAAATTCTTTATCACACTCTCAGAAACATTGCCTATAGGATGTTTCCAAGTTAACTGAGTCAATGTGTACACACTGAAGCTGAAAGAAAATAGCGTCGAAAGTAGAAGAGCAATTATAAAGTTAGCGTCCCTTATATTGATCACGCGCTATGTCGATCGGTCTTCTCTTTCCTTCTCAAAGAGGTCTCCTATTCTGTCGCTCGTGCGCGGTCACGTTTTTACACATCAAGCGTGCATGAATGGCTTCGATAACGGAAATTCAAAACTAAATTGCATTTTGACAAAGTCCAACAACCGTCTTCTTCTCTTCTTCTATGAAACATCATTCATTCCGTTCATAGTTTATCTGTTTTAAAATTTTCTACTACGCTCCACTGATAAATCCAATGCACGTGTATAGTCAAATTATTCTTCATTTGCATAGTCCTGTAAACAAGACGAAGAATTTAAATATGCGTTATTATCTACTAAATATCCCTTAAATTCATGCGAGCATGAATATGAATATAGTACAGAGTAACGATAACTACTGACTATAGTGAAATGATAAAAAAAAAAAAACATGCGATTGCAATTTGACTAGAAGAATTTCCCACAAGAATTGACGAAATAAGCAGCGAAAGGGACGAGTTGATAGAGTTATTGCCAAGTCGAAGATGGAGGGGTTACCGCCACGAGAATGACGACGGCGCGGTGGCAGCCGCCACTGCCGCCGCTTCGCGGCGAGGGATGGAGATCAGCGGACGACAAGCGATGTCAGGGCTGCTGCCGCCGTCGGTTAACACGCACAGGTTCACACCCATCCTCGACAATACACTTTGAAGGTCCGGTGAAGCCGCGGGAAACGGACAGGGCGACTTTCGCAAGGGGTCAGTTCCGCAGTGTAGTGAATCGACGCGAATGGATCGTGTATCAGAGTCGTCGCATAATCGAACACGATAAAGAAAACGTGACGTGCTTCTGCAACTGAACTGGGGGGGTGGCCGAATTCGCAGCCGAGTTCGCGAGGTCTAAAGGCAGAGGAGAGACAAGTTAATCGTCACCATAAAATTCCGGGGGTGGCTCGTCGGGAATAACTGAAGTTAATCGTTTCACGGTGAGAAGCTCTTTTCATCCTGCAGACGATGTCGTAAGTATCTTTTGCCGAGGGATGATGTAGCGAGAGAAGACAGAATCGCGTAGAGGCAACGTACAAACAGCGGTGCTTCCCCGTGCGATGAGGAGGAGGAGCAGGACATGCGTTTAATTGGAGCCTACCGTCGACGAAAGTGAGGGGAAGTTAGCATGAGGATAGTCCGTGTTCGCCCGGCCTCGACGAATCGAGGCTCGTTCGTGGTTCCCGAATGCTGCTCGCGATCAGACAGACTCGTGCAATCAAGGATGCAACTAGCCAGGATGCCCGAAGCGAGCGAGGAGTCACGTTCAGTGAAAGCTCTAATCAATAAGCTAGGGCTCGAGGGATTCTGAATTTTGTTGATGCTATTTGAGAAACGTGTCTTCGTTGCAAGGATGTAGGGGGGGCCCTACGATCGGGGCCCCGGTGAGGGTTTCCTCCAGAAACTCTTTCGCATCTTGGTGCATCGAGCAAAACTGAAACAGCAAACAAGCAAACAGTTGAAAGGAAGCTTCGTCACAGATTCCTCAGGCATTGAAATATATACAAAGGAGCAGAGCAGGAGAAAAAGGAACGACGAAATTTTCCAAGCCTGCAGCAGATCTTTCTACCGAAAGTATAACACCAAACGTTTCTCACTGAGGGGAATGATCGAAGCACGCTGCGTGTTCGTTAGCAACGTTTTTTTAAAGAATATCCGCCGCTAGTTCTATCGTCGTTTTAGTCGTTTAATCGGTGTACGTAACTGTAGCAGCCTTAGATAATTGTTAGTGAATTGTTGAAAGTTCCCGGGGTTGCTCGGCAATTGCATCGGGCTCGAATCAGCCGACCGAAAACTGTGCCAAACCCATTGTCGAAAGATCTTGACTCTAGGCTAAACCTGAAACAAAAGAAAAAAAAAAAAAAAAAAAAAAGAACAGAGAAAAATATAAAGAGGAGAAAAAGAAAAAAGGATTGAAAAAGAGGAAGAGGAAGAGATAGAATGCGTTTACATTTAAGGAAACGTGGGTATTGCTCGTAGGATACACGGAACGTGATATTTCGATGGATGCGTGAAATGAGATGCGAAGATGCAAGAGAAAATGGGAAGAATGGCACGCGGTAACGACGTTGAATATCGGCGAATCGTTTTTTCGGTGATGATGGGGCGGCTGCGCCTATCATCGACTTTAATCGTGCACGTCGCGTCAAGATTCGCCTGAAGCATCGCTCTCTCCTTGTAATCGAGTAGACCAGCCGTCTATCATCGAAAAGCCAGGAAAAATGGTCGATCTAGGGGGATATATTATCATATTGATCAACCACAATGACAAGATCAAACTGTACGGTGAGCATCGACGATTGCGTCATTAACAAACCTTCGCTGTCTGTTTACTGTCGTGAAGTTAACAAACATATTCCTTCTCTCCTTCTTTTTTCTTCA